ATACACCAACGATATGAAAACAGAGATGTAATAAGAGACTTGCACACCAAATGTCCATTGCAGCACTACCAACAATGGGTGGAAACAACACAAATGTCCACCAAGGGATAAACAGATAAACAAAATATGGTACATACAATGGAATACTACACAGCCAGTAAGAGGGATGAAGTCTTCATATGTGCTGCAATATGGATGGAGCTGGAAGACATTGTGTTGAGTGAAATAAGTCCATCAGAAAAGGATATACCGTATATACTCATGTATAAGCCAAGTTTTTCAGCACATTTTTAATGCAGTTTTGTGGTAAACTTAGGTGCCTCAACTGATATTCGGGTTGGCTTATACTTGCGTATATACGGTATATTGTATGCCCTCACTTATAAAGTTTATTAGTGTGTACCAGGGCAGGAGGGTGGGGGAAAGGGTAGTTATTGCTGATATAATACTGGGTTCCAGTTTACAGTGATGGAAAGACCATATTGATTAAGGGTAGAACCCTTAGTTGGTTCATGTAATTGCTCTCAGTAAGTTGTGAGAAGGTGTGATGGATATATTTACAACAATTAAACCAAAAGAGCAGCTTCTGAGGCTGCGTATGCACAACCAAACAGCTCCTGGGATGGGGTGCCTTGGCTTGGAGGTGTGGGATCACGGTTTCATGGGACATCTTGGTTCATTGGCCTAATACGATGTTTAACACTTCTACTCTACCTTCTGGTTTGCTGTGTGGTGCCCAGGGACCTCAACGTTCTCAAGCATCCATTCAGTCGGCCTTTTTCCCCCTTGGAGCAACAGAGGAAGAAGTAGAGTCAGGAACAGGAGAAAAGAATGGAGTCTGTGGCAAATTGCCACCATGAACAGCTGCCTCTATGCCCGGAGACCAGAAGAACTGAATGGTGCCCAGCCACCAATACTAAAGATCTTGATGAAAGATCTACAGAAGAATGTTGCTCAAAAATGGTAAAATGCCGCATAGAAGCCCAAGTTGTCATAGAGTCCAGTTTTTCTGAAACCATGAAGGGTCGATGAACTCCTGAAAGAAACTATTGCCTGGAGATAGTCTTTCAACATTAAACCTTCAATCAAAAATATCACCTGAAATTTTAAAACCAAACAGCAGTATAGCTTAATTAGTAAATAACATCTGCCTTGAGCGTTGTGCTCTTTTAAGATCTATTTACATGCGATTAATTTGACCATAGCAACTCAAAGGACTACCTAGGAGCTTAGGGGACAGAGACTTTATGTGAGTGGAGGAAGAACAGCTCAGAAAAGGAGGATGTGAATGACTGTAGCAGCAGTGACACTCACTGGGACATGTAGAAGTTGTTGGATGGGTACATTTCTGCTGTGCACATTCTTAACAACGGAAAAGGAAAGAAATGATTCTAATCATTGAAAGCTTGCACTCAAACACATACTTTTACACAAACGTTCATAGCAGCACTATTCACAATACTATAGGTGGAAACAACCCAAATGTCCATCAGCAAATTAACATATGCACAAAATATACATTCAGATAATAAACCATATTCAGCCACAGCACAGATGAAGTTGTGAGATGCTACAACCTAGATGAACCTTGAAAACATTACGCTGAGTGAAAGGAGTCCCGTGTGATAGGATTCCACCTACATGTCTAGAGTCAGAAAGCTCCAGGGACAGAGAGCAGGTTGGTGGTTGGGGAGGACTAGGGGAGGAGGGGTGGGTGGGAAATGACTTTTGGGGAGCAGGGGGTATTGCTTTTGAGGTAATGAGAATGGGAACTAGATAGAGATGATTGCATAATGTGGTAAATATACTAAATTTACTGAATTCTGTGCTTTAAAATGATTAATTTTATGCTTTATGAATTTCACTTCAATAAAAAAGAAGAACTGTACTGCCGGAAGTAAGATACTGTGAGAATCTGAATTCTTTGGTGTGGAGGATGGGGACTGGCCATCTTCTAAAGAGCCCTCTTAGGGGAATGCTCGACGGCTGCTTTCTTTCCCTTCGGTGCTCATGTCCCCTCCCAAGTCCCCTCGGGGAGCCCTGGAATATCACCCCATCATACTTGAAATATGAGCTGTGACTAACCCATCTGGGTAAATGCATGTCTCTCCTCAGATTTCAGCATCTTCCGATTAGACACTACAGCAGTGGTTCTCAACCTTCCTCAGTCCACGGCCCTTTAATACAGTTCCTGATCCCCCAACCATAAAGTTCTTTTTGTTGCAACTTCATAACTGTTATTTTGCTACTGTTATGAATTGGCCGACCCCTGTGAAAGGGTCCTTTGATCCTGAAAGGGGTCGAGACCCATAGGGTGAGAACCAATGGTTTAGATGCTTAGTGAATTTTCAGTGATGTTGACCAGGAGGAAGTACCGTTCCACCAGCATGACTGAGAAAGGAATCGGAAATGAGTGCTGGCAGTTACTGTGGGCTCTAGGAGAACTTCTGATTGGTTTTGTCAAGCCTCCGTGTGTAGACTCAGTTTTTCCCAAGGCAAACAGGAGTCTGCCTCCTCCCACAAGCGGGTGACTGCCTTTGCTCTACCTTCAATCTTTAGTGTTTTGTTTTCAGGAGGAAAGGGTGTATCGTTCCCTCCAGACGGACCTGCGTGACTCGGACCAACATTCTGTATCTCTGAGCTCTGTTTCACATTGTTAAAATGAGATGATAATGTTATGCTGTTGCCTTGCCTCAGTTCCATCGCTCTCCCAGCGACCCTGTGAAGCACAGACCGAAACACTGCCCTGGCCCGGGTCACCCTGGCAGGTGTTAAGGTCGAACCCACTGCTGCAGCCACGGTGCCAGTCCATCTTCGGAGGGCCTTCCTCTTTCTTGCTGCCCCGCCCTTTACCAAGCACGATGTCTCTCCTAACATGTCCAAACTGTGAGAAACAAAGGAGGGGTCTGGCTGTACTTCTCCCGAGACAGACCGGTTCATAGCTTTGACTGGTATTTTCAGTATTCTCCGCCAGCGCCATAATTCAAAGGCATCGATTCTTCTTCGGTTTTCCTGATTCAGTATCCAACTTTCACATGCATAGGAGGCAACTGAAAACGCCCTGGCTTGGGTCAGATGCATCTTCGTCCTCAAAGTAACAGCTTTGTTCTTCAGTACTTCAAAGACATCTTGTGTAGTCGATTTGCCCAACGTAACCCGTCATTTGAGCTTGACGATTGCTTCATGAGCATCGATTATGGATCCAAGCAAGATGAAACCCGTGACAACTTCAATCTTCCCTCCATTTATCATGATCTGGTCTATTGGTCCTGTTGTGAGGATTTTTGTTTTCTTTACATTGAGTTGTAATTCATAGTGAAGGCTGCAATCCTCAGTCTTCCTCAGCAAGTGCTGCAAGTCCTCCTCACTTCCAGCAAGCAAGATTTGGCCATCTGCACATGACAGGTTGTTCATAAGCCTCCCTCAATCCTGATGCTGAGCTCCTCTTCCTTTAGTTCAGCTTCTCTGACTTGCTCAGCGCGCAGATTGAATAAGAATGGTGAGAGGATACAGCCTTGATACGACACCTTTCCTGATTTAAGCCAGGAAACATTTCCTTATTCTATTTGCACAACTGCCTCTTGATCCATGTACAGGTTCTGAATGAGCACAATGAAGTGTTCTGGAATTCCCATTCTTCTCAAGGCTGTCCATAGTCTGCTATGACGTTGTGACAGTCCTAGAAAGATGGCCATGTTGGAATGTGAACAGCACTACCACTCCTGTAGTTGGAGCACTTCCCACAGGGCAGGCACTGTGCAGAGCTTGCTATAACCTCGTTTGGTCCGTTCAACAACCCACCTATAGAGATATTGCCCCTCTTTTACAAATGAACCTTAAAGATGATAAGCAAGTTGCCCAAGGTTACACAAGCAAGCCGGATCAGTGGGATTAGATCTTTGCCCTCCAAAGCTTATGCCCTTCCCATGGAAGAGATGCCACAGAACCTAACGAACAACATATTTGAAGTTTTGAGAAATAGGAGTTGTATGACAGGCTATTCAAGATTGCATCATTGCTGAGAGATTTGGAGACGGGTATTCCGAGACATAGATTGAAGAAAGATTCATTTGCTTTAATATTAGACATGCTCAAGCCCGAACAAGGAGGCTGCCAGGATCCGAGTAACACAGTGGACTCCGTTCATAATTGCTTTTTTTGACTGGTATTTTCAGTATTCTCTGGTATTTTGATTTATTCCTGAAGGAGAAAGAAAATAATGCAAGGGATTTAAAGGAGGCAGGAGGGCAAGGAGGGTCCCGGCTGTCTGAGTCTGCATGTTCACGGGTCACTACCCAAAGTGGTTCACAGACTCAATGTGCCACCAAGAAAAACTTTGCCAATGCTTCTGCAGCAATGGCACAGCCAGTCCTCCCCTTCATATGAATTGCAAGATCCCCAAATAGCCAAAACAACCTTGAAAAAGAACAAACTTGGAAGACTCACAGTTCCCAATTTTGAAACTTTCCCCAGAGCTATAATTATCCAAACAATATAGTACTTTTTTAAGACTAGACTTCTAGAGAATGAAATAGAATTGGGCGTCCAGAAATAAGCCCATACAACTCATTTGCAATGAGGCTCCCACGTCCAATCAATGGGCGGGGGTGGGGAGAGCAGTCTCTTCAGTAAATGGTGCTGGGACCAAAGGACGTCAATATGCAAGAGCGTGACGTTGAACCCCTTTCACACGCCAGATACAAAACCAGCTCAACATGGAGCCACAACCGCCATGTAAGCGCTCAAATGATAAACTCACAGAATGAAAGGATAATGCTTCAGGACTTTGTTTTTGGCAAAGGATTATTAACTATGACCCCAAAAAAGCACATGAGCAACAGAAGGAAAAATAAATAAGCCAGACTTCTTTAAAACGTAAACATGCTGTCCATCGAAAGACAAGTATTGGGAAAAACAAAACAGTATTGAGAAACTAAAAACCTATAGTATAGGGAAAATATTGGAAACTTTATTGCTGATTCAAGTTTACTCTCTAGAACAGTGGTTCTCAACCTTCCTCATGCCACGACCCTTTAATACAGTTCCTCATGTTGTGGTGACCCCCAACCATAAAATTATTTTATTATTATTTTTAAATCATTTTATTAGGGGATCATACAACTCATCATAATCCATACATACATCAATTGTGTAAAGCACATTTGTACATTCATTGCCCTCCTCATTCTCAAAACAGTTGCTGTCCACTTAAGCCCCTGGCATCAGCTCCTCATTTTTCCCATCCCTCTCCGCTCCCCCCTCCCTCATGAACCCTTGATAATTTATAAATTATTTTGTCATATCTTTCCCTGTCCAACGTCTCCCTTCACCCACTTTTATGTTGTCCATCCCCCAGGGAGGAGGTCACATGTAGATCTTTGTAATCGGTTCACCCTCCCAGTATCGCCACTCACACCACTGGTCCTGAAGGGATCATCCGCCCTGGATTCCCTGTTTCCAGTTCCTATCTGTACCAGTGTACATCCTCTGGTCTAGCCAGATTTGTAAGATAGAGTTGGGATCATGATAGTGGGGGAGGAGGAAGCATTTAGGAACTAGAGGAAAGTTGTATGTTTCATTGTTGCTACATCGCACCCTGACTGGCTCATCTCGTCCCCGAGACCCTTCTGTAAGGGGATGTCCAGTGGCCTGCTAATGGGCTTTGGGTCTCCACTCTGCACTCCCCCTCATTCACAATGATATGATTTTTTGTTCTTTGATGCCTAATAACTGATCCCATTCGACACCCTCTATAAATGTCCTTTTCCTCCTTGCTCTTTCCTCATAAAATTATTTTCATTGCTACTTCATAACTGTCATTTTGATACTGTGCTGAATTGGGAGACCCCTGTAAAAGGGTTATTCGACCCCCAAAAGGGTCGAGACCCACAGGTTGAGAACCGCTGACCTAGAACATTTACAATGTTGTGTAAGCATCATCACAATGCTGTTATGTAACCATA